ATCGATATTTACATATTCCGATAGATCCGATCGAAAGTTTTACATTAATATTACATTTTGTGATATTTATAGCAATTTGGTTCAATATTATATACAATTTTAATATTTTGTAATATTTATAGCAATTATAATTTTATAGCAATATAATATTGTAATATTTATAGCAGTTATAATTTTATAGCAATATAATTTTGTAATATTTATAGCAATTTAGTTCAATATTATATACAATAGTATATACAATTTTAATATTCTTTTAATACAATAAAATTCAGTTTTTTTTCTACCGAAATATGTTTTCACAGAAATGCATCCCTACACAAAAGATCGCCGTTCTCGGCGTACATCGTGACTCAATTCCTGCCGTATGGTACGATCGGTGCGTCTCAAAGCCAAGTGGTGTAGTCAAGGGGTTAAACGTTCCAGAAACAGAAGCAAGAACAATCGTTTCGACGATGCGCGGAGAGAAAAAGTGCGGTCGGACGAGAACGTCGCGTCGGGATCTCCGATGTTCGATTCTAAATCGCGAACAGAAATACGGTACTCGAATATAGACGGGCAATTATACCGCGAATAGCGAAGCGAACAGCTTTGTCCTTTCCGGTAATATCGATGAGCGCAGTCTCGACTGTCCGGATCCCACCGGTTCGACCGTAAGCGCGGAAAATGTCGTGCCCTTTCGTTTGATCCTCCGCCCACGAACGCGAGACGTTCTTCGCGTATTAAATCGGAGTCGTACGATACCGCGGTATATCGATCGTTTGTTTCTTTCGGAATTCAGAAGAATCGCGAACCTCGAGAGCCTCGAGAGAATCGTGAACGGCGACGGTCGGTCCACGAAACTGCGAATTTAGCAAATTTATAAAGGGTCACCTTTTCGTCTTTTATTCTTCTTACCGATGAGACGATAATATTGTTCTACTGTTTCGACGGATCCGCTCGGAAGACTCGAACACCGAGCGAGGTTTAACCAGTTAGCTGTGTTCGACGAGTATACTCGTCACGGAGAGATGGCAATCGGCTATTTAAATTGTAACTTTAAGGAAAGCAAAAACATATTCCGAAATTTCAAGATGCTCGGAATATTTCGAGGCCGATCCTGCGCGAAGTTGTTTACATTGTTGTAAAAATAAAATTAGAAAAGAGTCACGGTATCGGTGTTCGACGCGCAAAGCGCCGTTATATATTGTTCCTTGCTTCGCCGAATACCACTCGCTCTCTGCAGCAGCAATTTGAATTTTTAACTTTTACAAGTATTCGATTATCCCTGGGTTTTTCGTTTATTACGTGTACGGTATACGTTAACGTCGAGCGAACGAGTAAATATCGGTAATAAGATTGTTAATTTCATCAAATAAAACCGTCTTTCCGATCCAATATTTGAACAGCGACGCTCGCATCGCGATCGGCGAGTATACTCGTCGTCGTTCGATTCTTGCGACACATATACAGTAATGTCTCTCTAATTGACGCCCAGAAAAATGGACAATTTGGGAAGAGGAGATGCGATTATTCGAGCCTCGCCGTTTATTTTTACAGTTATAAGTTGTCCACAATTATAAAAACGAACAGCGAAAGGCTCGAACAATCGTGTCTCCTCTTCCCAAATTGTCCAATTTAGTGGACAATCCGAGCGTCGGTAAGGGAGACATAATTCGCGCTCGGATTGCGCGCAAAAATGGACAATCTCGGAAAGAGGAGACGCCATAGTTCGAGCCTTGCACCTCGTTTTTATAATTGTTGACGATCGGTGACTATATAAATGTGCCTCGAGGCTCGAATAATCGTGTCTCCTCTTCCCAAATTGTCCGTTTTAGTGGACGATCCGAGTCCAATCGCTGTAGGCGCGCGCTCTGAAAAGGAGGCGCCCACAGCTAACTGGTTAAACTTCATTTCCAGGAGAGAAGAATCGTTGCTGGACGGTCCGCGAGGAATTTCTACGTCGCTCCTAGCTATAACGCAGGCGATTCTGTGGACCGTGGGCTATATGCAGGCCGTAGATCGTGCACGTGTTTACTTCCTCGGAGCACGCAGGATTAATAAAACAGAGAGAGGCCGGTCGGTGAGGTCGATTGCGCTCGCTCCTTCGACGATTAATAACAAAGTTGAACAAGAGAGAGAGAGAGAGAGAGAGAGAGAGAGAATAGCGAGAGCACATACGTTTAGAATCGAGTACACATGTAGTTAAAAAAAAAGAAAAACAAGAAAAAACTGTCGCGGAACACTTATAAAAGACGTACATCATACAAATATAATCGAGAGAATAAGAATGTACCGAGGGGACAACGAGCACACACAGACATAGAGACGAATATATATATATATAAGTTATGCGTGTAGGAGAAAGAATGCGGAGCTGAAGAAACATAGAGACGGAAGACGCGAGAGGATGCGGTCGCGAACGCGTCCGATCGCAGCGGCGTTTCCGCTTTTCCAATTCATTTCCAGTTCATTTTTCTTCTCGTCGAACGTAACCGGTGACGACGCGGAAGGAACCGTTCCCGTCTCTCGGTTTCGAGGCAGTGCTTTTCGCCGATCGTTCTCTAAAAAGCTGCGAATATTTGGGAAACGCGGCTTCTCGAAAGCGCGCGAACTTGTTCGAGAACTCTTTCCTTTTCTTTTTTTTTTCAAGCGAATCACGGCGGCTCGAATTTTCGTTCCAGCCGCGATTTCGGAGCGACGGAAACACGGGAACGGACCTCGAAGAGCATCGTCGCGCGGTCGCGATCGTTCTCCGATCGGAATCTGGATCGGGATCGAGATCGAGATCTCGCGTTCGCGGCCGCTGTAACCGTCTCGGGCCGCGTCGATGCGTCGTCTTACGATAACTCCGAGGAAACTCCACGGAATCGACTGCCGTTCTTCGTTCTAATAAAACGGAACGCGTTTGTAACCGCCGTGCGACAGCGTTCAACCTTTTCTTTCTACCATCGTTATTTCCGCCTTCGGATCGATCGATCGATCGTCTCTTCGCTCTCGTCGTCGCGGAACGTTGCGGAACGTTGCGAGACGTCGCGAAACGTCGCGCTCTATCGATGTACAGTAATAATGTCTCCCTAATCGACGCTCGGATTGTCCACTAAAATGGACAATTTGGGAAGAGGAGATACGATTGTTCGAGCCTTGCAGCTTGTTTTTTATAGTTACGAATCGTCAAGGTTATATGTCAAGGTTATGCGAGGATCGAATAATCGTTTCCCTTCTCCCTAAATTGTCCATTTTTTCTGGACAATCCGAGCGTCAATTAGAAAGACATTATTGTACGCGTATCTCGCGATTCCTCGACTTCTCCGTACAGCAATGTCTCCCTAATTGACGCTCAGATTGCGCAGAAAAATGGACAATTTCGGAAAAAGAGATACGATTGCTTAAACTTAACAGCTCGTTTTTACAATTGTTGGCAATTGGAAAGTATAAAAACGAGTCGCAGGGCTCGAATAATGGTACAGCGATGTCTCTCTAATTGACGCTCGGATTTTCCACAAAAATGGACAATTTCGGGAGAAGAGATACGACTGTTTAAACTTTACAGCTCGTTTGTTATAATCGTTGACGATCAGATTAATATAAAAACGAGCCGCGAAGCTCCAATAATCGTATCTCTTCTTCCAAAATTGTCCATTTTTGTGCACAATCTGAGCGTCAATTAGGGAGACATTGCTGTATCTCCTCTTCCCAAATTGTCCACTTTTGTGGACAACCTGAGCGTCAGACATTATTCCGAATTGTTGCGTTACGCGCTCCCACGCACCCACGCGCACTCGCGCGTATTTCACACGTACATACGCGTACGCGCAAACGTATACAGAGACGCGTATAGATCGCGGAGAAAATGTCCGCGAGGGACACGAAATCGGAGGGGGGTTTGGGGGTGGGTTTTCCTTTCGGCGCCGGAGCTGGGTCAAATACTATTTCATAAGATTGTCTCGACACACCTTACAGTTACACACACGTGCACGTATAGCTCAAATCTGGCTGCCGTGTTTAGCATCTTTTCGGTCTCGATTCTCCCGGTGCATCGAAAAGAGCAGCGGACGACGTCGGTTCCTCTCTCTCGTATATTTTCCTGTTTTTTTTTCAACGCATCGTTCTCGTTTATTTTTCCGTTCGCTTTTTCCGAAGGCAACGCCGCGCCGTTTCCGGATCGTCGTCGTCGTCGTCGTTGTCGTCGTCGTTGTCGTCGTCGTCGTCGTCGTCGCAGCCGCCGCCGTTTTCCTCGCCCTACTATACTACTCTCTATGATTCTTTTCTTTTTTTTGCTTCTGCTTTTGCTTTCGTTTTCGCTTCTGCACGCAGCGAGCTTGGCCTTACCATGTAGCCGAAATAGTATTTTGCCCACCTCTCTCCAGCGCGTTTTCCACAGAGCTTCCTTGATCGTTTTTCTCTTTTCTCGTTGTCCGAGAGACCGTGCGATCGTTACAGCGGATACTCCGACTATTTTACCTCGCCGGCGCAGGGCTGTGACAGGGGGGACTCTCTCGTTCTTTAAAACGCTGCTTCCTCGACTTGGATAATCGCAGACAGTTTAACCGGGGGGCCCCGGGGGGGCCGGGGGTCTATAGGGGCTTAAAAGGCTAAAGGGGGCTGGGGCTCGGGGCTGGGGCAGACAAGAACACCATCACGCCCATCGTCCTGCCGCGACCTTTAATTAGCGCGCGACAAACGACCGGCAAGATTGACCAGAGACACAGAACATAGTCACGTCCACAGTTTTTTTTTTTTATAAAAAAAAAGAAAAATACAGAAAAAAGACAACAGTTGCAGCGAGAGAGAATAACATCGCGGGGGAGGGAGCGACAACTCTCTCTCCCTCCCCCTCAGGGAAACAGAGATATACATTATCGCTGCAGTAAACGAGGATCGAGGATTAGTACCGAGGATGATCGAGGATGAAGGTTAATGCGTAAATAGTAGAGAGAAAGAGAGAGAGAGAGAGAGAGAGAGAAATAGATAGTTTAAAGAGAGACATAATATTATCCATAGGGATGAGACGAACTCACCTCCTCGCATAGCGCCAGCATACGCCTCGTACTCTCCAGGGACTGAAACAAGAATCGAAGCATTTCGATCAGTTAAGGCACATCATTTAACTCGTTCGCGGACTCCGAAGTGCTTCGGCGAAAGATGGCTGGCAATTTTAGCTATTTTCTCTTGGTCCTCGCCGACCAGCTGCTGCTCGAAAGCGGAAAATCGCGGTTCTCTGGTTCTACACAGAAATGGACAATTTGGGAACAAAAGACAAGATTATTCAAGCCTTGTACTCGTTTTTTATAGTTGTTGACAATTTGTAACTATAAAAACGAACCGCAAGGCTCGAATAATCGTATCTCCTCTCCCCAAATTGTCCATTTCTGTGCACAACCCGAGCGTCGGTAAGGGAGACATTACTGTATCGACTCGAAGCGCGACGAATCGGTGCAACGACTGTATCGGAATTCTAATTGGAAGCACGTCGGCCAGAGTCGGACCACGCGATAGGCGAAAATTCGCAGGAAAACGGCGAGATTTTCGCGCGACAGCCATCTTTTCAGTCCTCGACACAGCGAAGGTCCCCGAGCGAGCGGCCTCGCCGACGATGTATTGGGTTGGCAACTAAGTAATTGCCGATTTCAGTTATAGATGTCTCTCACTCCCATTTTTATAATATCCGTAAATGTTATATTACAAAATTATTATTATTATTATTATTATGTTATTTTTTATTATCCGTGAATGTTAGCAACTGGACAAATTGAATGCAGCGGTCAAGGAAAAGCGACCAGAATTGGTCGATCGTAAAGGTGTCATTTTCCAGCAGGACAATGCTAGGCCGCACACGTCTTTGTCCACTCG